GGGGGGGGGGGGGGGGGGGGGGGGGACATGCCCCCCCCTGCCTAAGGTGGCACCTGTCACCCATGCACATATAGTATTGACTTGCTAGCTTTACCACATGCTCTTTTGAACAAGTGCTAGTTTATGACACCCCAAAGCAAGCCAACAGGTTTTTCAGGGAAGCTGGTCTATGTGTATTGCCTGTTGTCATGGTGTATTCTCTAGACTATAGCCAAGGACTAGCCAATTTTTTTTTTTTGGCCTTATTCCCTTTTAGGGCCATAGGTTTCACATTGAAACCAAACTCTCCCATGGAGCAGTTGAACAAAACACACACTAAGTCAGGCATCTGATCTGGCTCCATCTGAACTAATTGCCATTATCGAGTAGCAGAGTTAACCTCGCTGACATGCTGACGCTTGGCCGACACGGCAACAGTATGTCATGTAACCAACCCGAAAGGCAGCCACAAAAACAATGAGTTAAGCTCTGCATAATGTTTCCACATCAAAAAACAATAAAAATGACACTGAACAAGCATTATAAGAGAATTTTCCAAATTAATTAATGTGGTATCTTCAAGCACAAGAGGATTTCAAAGAGACAGGCAATTGAGATTTACAAGATGCAATGAAACACACTTGTTGGTTTTATGCAACAGTAAAACTGGTTGGTAGAGTCGAGCCATTTCAGCACCAAATTCCTCAGCCGCACTCATCTGTGCACACAGAAGAAAACCCAGTGTGTTTTTATTTTCATGACAACATCTCCATCAAGAAAAGAACCTCAGTCTAGCAGAAAGGAGGGTATCCTGTTCTTCTTGGATTACCAGATTGTGCTAAGTGTTAAGGATGTCCTGAACTACTACTTCTCGTATCTCTACACCACATCTGATCATTTTGTTATGCATGCTTCTGCTGGTCCTAAACTGCCCATTGTGGATTCAAAACTGGGACAAAGGAAGATGATAAAAGGTCTCTTGGAGGGTACTCCAGGATGCTGTTATGGAATAACAATACACCTTCTAGCAATAAAAAGAACAGTCAACTTTTGCCAATTCTCAGGCTAGAAGCTGGGGGGAACTAGGGCAGCCCTCCCTCGCCTTCCACAGGGCTGAGCTGAGGGGGGTGTAACCAGGCCCCAGGATGCTCTAATTAGACAGCCCCCCAACAAACCCAGCAGGGAATTGATAACACAGTGTTTATCACCCCATTAAGAAAACAACAAAGGGACATTACCAGCTACCTGTTGATTCTGCCTTTCTCGCATCTGCCACAGCAGGGACCACAGCCATCATGTGGTCTGCTAGCTAATGCTGTGTATCTGCGTAAGGCAGAGGGGATGGGGGAATCCCTGCTTAGCAGGGAGCGGTGAGGGGGAAGACGGGCAGATGCCTCAGCCAGGGAGCAGAGGGGAGGGGACAGCCCTGCTGCAGAACAGAGAGCCCTGCCCAGCCCATAGAGCATGTCAGGACTCTGATTTAACTTAAACCAGTGGTTTAAGTTAAACCACTGGTCTGGGACAGACATTGCATAAAGCAGTTTGACTCAAATCAGTTAAGTCTGATACCACATTCAACCAGGTTTATCTCAAACCAGTTTCAGCCATTTTCAAACTGGTTTATGTGCACTGAACATCCATTCTGTTTCAGGTTTAAGCCAGTTTCCGATCACTTAAACCGGTTTATGTGTAATGCCTGTCCCTAGCTCTAGAGTTCAACATAGGAGCAGCTCTGATTGCTACCTAAGCTACAGGTCAAACACAACCAAAAGGGCCAACCCTGCCGGGTGGAAGAGGACTCTAAATAGATACAGCATAGAGTTTTGCTGCAAAAAAGGTCAAAAATCATAGCTGTATTCTTAAGAAAGATATAACACATCATAGCCCTGAGTATAATTTAGGACTATGGAATGTAGTAGCATTAAGGGGGGAAAAACCTGTCAAACCTCACAACTCAAGTCATAAAGGGATGAACTAAAAGATTTTCTTCTTGCATCAAAACTACAGGATCAGGCTACTGGATATGTGGATCGTGGAGGAGTGAAAGTGTTCTTGGAAGTACCAGATGCTGGTCACTTTGAAATGCAGGTCACGCAACTACAAAAAACAATGATGTGATTTGCAAAAATCTTGTGTTCCTCCTGTGGCTCTCTGATGCACAGCACATCCCGTACCCTCTCTAGTTAAATCAGCTACTGTGCTTTGACAATCAGAATCTGAGATCAGTCAGACTGGTAATCTAACAGGGGCAGCATTGTTCTCATATCCTCCTTGGAAACCAAGAAAGAGAGACACTAAACAGGTAGTGGGGAGGAAAGAGACCTCGATTTAAAAGGCTGATTAGAGGTTTAAAGCAGAGACAGGAGGGTGAAACAATTGCCCCACGTCACACACTAAGTCAGTGAGATGCTGGGGAATAGTACCCATAATGCCTGATCCCTAATGCTCTCTCAGCTCGAGTACAGCCGGCTGGGTAGAAAGATGCTCCTATTGGCAGAACAATGTTGTTTATCTCCTTGCAGAAGTCACTTCTACTGCAAGCATCTCTCCCCAGCTGCCTTTGCTGAAGAAGCACCAAAATGCAAGGGCTGCGCTGCTGAATTCCACAGCTGACCTGGTCATCAGGGGGTCAAATGAAATGTGATGCATCTGCACACATGCAACTCTGACACCATGTTGGGTCAATGTAAGAGATGCAGGCAGGCAAAGGAAGAAAAATATTTGCCTTTAAAAAGCCAGAAGGGGGAATGTATTTCCCAAGCAAGTCAATAGCATTCACTAACAGATTGAGACTCTGGCAAAGAGCCTGGAGCACATTCTTACACCTGTGCATTAAGGGAATGGGCCAGATACTTCATTTGGCTTCACCCTTTTCTGGTTTGTCTAGCAGGTACAACACAACAACGGCAATAATAGCAACAAGTGAGGCAGAAAGGCAAAGCAAGAGCAGCTCAGGGCTCACGCCACTCACCCGGCCGGGGAGCAAGCTGACAGATTAATGGCTGCAACGTTCCAAGCTGCAATGTTGCAAACTGAACTACATCGGGAGGTGGTTTAGTTTGTAATGATGCAAACTCATTTAAAACCCCCCAAATTTGCCTATGTGTAAAGTGTGATGCCATTAAGCCACACACAGCAACATTTTCATCACGTGTACAAGCGCCCTAAGGTTACATCTATATGAGCAACATAGACTGTGTCTAGGTAGGAGGACTGCCACTAAGAAATGCACCACATCCACCAGCACCAAGGCCAGAGATGAAGAGAAACAGCTGCTCTGTAGGTGCCACCTACCCCACTGCCAACTTCTCCAGGATCCTTGAGAGAAGTGGTGGGAGGACAGCCTCAGAGCTCAGTTCTGGGTCTGGCTGTGCAGAGTGGAGTCAAGTAGCCAAAGCAAGCCATCTCAAGGGCACCGGGGAAGGGGTGCAGGCAGGCCCCTGGGGCAGCACCCACAAGCACACTGTGCGTCTCCAGGCAGGCTGCTTCACCTCACTGCAGCACCA